CCTGAAATTCTTTTTTTACACATTAAAGCACAACATCATACTATATGTCTTTTTAAATGATGAATACTCAGGCATAATTTAAAAACACTCCCTTTCAAATCACCACCTTGTTTCCTTATTGCTGATATCCGTACATTCATATTAGATTGAAAGGTTTGTCAATCATTCCTCATCTGTTTTATGATGTGTGGGCATGAGCCCCACCAGGGCACATGTCCACTGGCTTTATGTCAATATTTTGCTTAAGGTCAAGCCACATCAGCACTAATGATACACAAAGAAAAAAACACACAGTTTCAGCACACACAGTTTTCCAAAGGTTTTGTAGTTTTGCCAAAGTTAAGCAATATTCTGCCAAGCAACCCCACTTATCTCCTCATGCCTCACGACATGGCTGGCACTTACTGTGTCAGTATTAGTGATAGGAATGAATTTAATGAGTTTTAGGGGTATTGGCAGTGATTTAGTGCACAGGACTTGTCATTAAATAAGACAGATCCTCAGATGACACATGCTGGCATCAAAGTGGGACTTTGCTTCTATCTGGTGGTGGTATGCAGCAAGTGCAAGTGCAAATTTTGCACTATTGACACAAATAGTCTACATGTTTAGAAGAACATGTTCTGCAATTTTTTTTTATATTCTGATAAAAATGTGTATGCTAATTTTGTGCTGATCTTACATATTAGAACGATTTACAGCCAGATTATTTCCTTTCTGTGTCATATTAACCTGGCAGAAGCCAGATTGATAAGTGCAATGCCCTTGGTTTGAGTTACTCACAAATTTAACTATTCAAAGTAAAAGTTATTTGTTAGCTTGGTTTCTATGGGACATTGCACTTACCTGCATGCACATTTCATCCCAGTGTGTTAGGGATTTTAAAAATAAAAGCTAGTATCTAGCTGTATTTTATATGATAAATACTAATACGTTTTTCCCCATATGTAGTTGCTCATATGTCTGTTTCAGATAGTGATTGCTGTGCTGTACTCTGGCTCACCTGGGAGTGACTGCTGACATAAAATGAGACACGTCATGCACAAAACATTATTTAAACCAGAGAGTTTTAAACCAGTCATGTTAGCACAAGTCACACTTTCTTATGTAACATGAATCATTTTGAACATTATCCACTCATCTGATCTGACAACAGTCCTCCAAAGGGCAACGTCTGTGCCACTGTTCGTTTGCAAAGTGAAGTCTGGGTTTTTATGGCTTTATGGGCCTCCTCTATAGAACTGGCTGTAAAATGCTGTAGTCTCTTTATGCGAGTAGACATATTTTATCTGCACTTAAATTTCTCCTCAATGTATTAAAGTCCAAATGCATTTGTCTCAGTAATACTTACTGACACCATTTAATATAGCGCACACTTTTTAAAAAGAGTGCTTATATATTTTTTTCTGATTTAGTTTATTTTTACTAGAATATCTACCTGTTCTGATTATTAAAGCTAGGGTACCAAATGTTCTAAATTTTAAATAAGGAAATAAACTGTTACCCACAGTTCTAGTTTGTTCCTAGCCCTCACCAACTCTTTTGCACACCACTCTTATTCACAACTGCATGCACAGCTTTAGAACATCTGAATAATACATGATATTAGAAAGTGTATTTAGGAGTTTCTTTACAGTTTATTGCATGCATATAAAAACTCCAAAAAACATATTTGTTTTGTTTTGACCAAACTATGACAGAATTTCCTAAAGCTTGTTTATCTGTACTATTTAGGGCAAGTGAGCAGAGACAGTATGTGAAAAGCATGGTCGATATGTGTCAGCTGTCCACTGGTTTAAGCTGGTGGGGCTAAAGCCCTGAGAGAAAGGTGATGCCCACAGCTTCCTGCTCTTCTCACATCTGCAGCCTGTAAACCCACTGGTCCATAAAACTGTCTCTAGTGCCAAACGCCATCATCACATCACACCCTCATTTTCTCCAACAACACCTTCCACTTGAGCAGTTGTGCTTTGCAATGCAGAACGGGAGTGCAGTGTAGAATTAGGCGCCAGGGGACACCTCACAACTCCTATTGCTTATTAAAGTACACTTTGAGAAGTTCTCCATGCCAGCCCAAGCAGAGAGAAACGGGCTCCCAGAACAGCAACAGTTACACAGTTTGCACGTTGATTTCCTCATTCGTACCATGCATTCAGACAAGTAAAACTGTCCAAAGTAACTGACCAAAATGGTTTCAAATTATAAATGTAAACTTTTCATTGTCAGATACTCTCAACTACCTTTCTGATTTGAATTTACTACATTTGCTATTTTAAATACTACTTACTCAAATAATATTAGATATTGCTTTTGTTATTCTACTCATGACTGCAATTTAAAAAAAATATATATATTTCTATTTATCATAATTAAAATGTCTATATGAGCATGTCTACAGAATTCCAAAAGTGTACAGAGAGTGCGTGGCTGACATATGGTTTAGTTCAACTCTTGCTTATGTGCTGTATGCTTTAGCGCCCAAGTGCCTTACTGTGTTTGCACAATATGTGACCAGAATCTCTCTAAATATAGTGATGAACTTAGGTAATTAGGAGTGTCTTACCAAGTGTCTGTCTGACTTTCTACCCAGAATGCAAAGCGATTTTCCTGGTGCTTGCCTCACTGTCCCAGTGGGCCTCACCAAGTCCTCCCAAGCTGAACACATCCTCACTGGTTAACAAGCAGTCGAATCAACAGCAGCCAGTGTAAATTGTATGTAACTTTTTAGTTCGCACTAATAGTGTGACCTTTATTGATTTCTTGTCACTTGCCCTCAGCTCCGGCGAAACACTAATGGCACTGGTCAATAAAAAGCCATGGAAGTGGAAGTTCTCTATAGGCCTCCCCGTGTGCGTTTGGCTACACTCCTAAAAATAACCATCTCCCAGAAAGGGCTTATTGGACAAGAGCAGCAATGTGTCCCTGGTTTGCTCCCCTCACTATACACATGTAAGAAGGACCAACATGCTGAGCCATCCACACAACATATTCACTCCCTGCCAGCCCCTATTCACAAGCCGAGACACATTCAGCAAGTGGCCTGCCTCTTCTGATCAATACATTTATAACGCAGCAAAATAACCCAGGGAACCAGCGCTATACCAATCGAAAACAAACAGCACTTTGGCAGCCGTCCATCTGAAGGCATTGAAGACCCCACTGCACAGAGAAATTGAATGGAAAAGAACAAAGTTTGAATGAAAAGAAATGGCACCACCAGGTGATATTGACCACTAATGTCAGTGTCCTGTAAGTTTTTAGCTTCTGTCTATTCTTGAACATGTATGTTGGACATGTTTTATTATTATGTAAAAAGCAAGCACTCAAAATAAGAACTTAAAGATTAAAAAGATTTAAAATAACAGTTTAAACATCGAAGAGCCTATTTTCAGTTACACCAAAGGAAGCTGGTGTTAAGAAACAAATATGATAATGTCCCCCCTCTGCAGATTAAGTCTCATCCCTACTCAGACTTTTTCCTCCCTGGGCTGCAGTCAGTGTTGAGCTGAAGTTTGGTGAGGGACCCCCTAAAGATCTGCCCCTCACAGTCCACCAGCCCTCCACAGCACTGCTATTGATCCAGCTCCCCTTTGCCTGCAGCCTGCCTTCACTCCCACTATATATCACTTTATTTAATCCACTCTTAAACGGCTTGTAATTAGAAATGAGTCTGACTTTAAGTGCACCTTGTGTTTAAGTTACTGTCAATAGGCGGCAGTGTAGTTGGAGCTGTGTTAAATGGGAGTTTTATAGTGACACTGGCTTTAGAGTGGAGTGCTGTTGACAGTGTCAGCAGAGAGCAGCCAAATGATGCAAATAAAACGTCTCTTGAGGGATTAGGCCCAGTGCTATTTGAAAAGCAGACCTACTTACAGTAAGTCTCTTAATTATAGCTCATATTTGCTGCTGTGGCCTTGACTTACTTTAATGACTGGCTGGAGATGTACAGATAGAAAGTGTGTTTGGTTCATGCAAATAATTAACTAAGAGGTGGTGTGGCAATGCAATGTTAGCTGACATCTATTATTGTCTTACAAACATCTAATCTTTAATTAAGTCTGTAGCAGTGGTTCTCAAACTTTTTGCGGCATGTTCCACCTTAGCAAATATATGGCCATTCAATACCACCAGATCTAAATTGGGTCTAAAAAAATTTACTCAAGACCAAATAGTGTTAAACCAGGTAGGACTACACCTCTTCTAGTTCTAAACCGGGACCAGCCCAAAAGAGGGAAACATATGGTATGACTTGATTTTTCATTGTATTATACCAACTCCCTTATCGCCAAATGTTTCTAGTCTATGCTTTATATGTTATCTTATCATATTAACACATATGTTTAATATCCTCCCACACACTTGCATGTAGGTTACTATAATGCAAAAATACGGTTTGCTTTACTTTCCAGAGGCTAAACACTGCAAACTGCTCATGACATTGCCACTGACGCTAGCAAAACACAGCCTTTCTCCCTATGACCCCAACAGCTGCCAAAGCTATTTAAAACAAGCTCCTCAAAAAACTCACTTTGTCCATCAATATGTCATTAGAGAAATTAGCTCTTCACATACACCATTAAAGGGTGGGCTCTCTACATTTTACGTAGACAAGTTTATTAGCATTTATAATGTAAATGTGTATTTATTGACATCTTACATACTACTTGGGCTTTCTTTAAGGGGAACTTTGTTGGGAATTAGATTAGGACACACAGCATATTATAAAAAGCCCAGTTGCTGTTAATGCCCAACCTTTATTATAGTATTCTTCTATATTTACAGTAATTATTCATTGCAGTACATTTTTCATGACACTAGATGCCGCTGCATAGCGCGTAATGTCGCTGCCTTGCGCTTCTTCTCTTTGCTATCGCCCCCTCCGCTTTGTACTATGTCTGATAGAAAGTCAGCCTGGTTTCCAGCTGAGTGCTTGCTCTCTCACAGTGTGTGTATGTGTGTGTGCGTGTTGTCATTATTATCCACTCTGCTCCCAGCTCAGAATGGCCAGATTCACTCAGACTGAAACAAGAAGGCAGCAGCATCCACAGCAGCATCCCCAGCCGCCCCAGCCCACTCTCTCCTGCCTGGTTTACACCGGACCGGGGGCACCAGCGACCCAGCCGCCACCACCACTGCTCCCACATCAGCACCAGTACCCCAAACCCATGAACGGCTCAGAATCCATTTCCATTCATCCGGACAACGGCAACATGAAAGACCAAGATGCCATTAAGCTGTTTATTGGGCAGATACCGCGGAACTTGGAGGAGAAAGACCTGAAGCCGCTGTTTGAACAGTTTGGGAAAATCCACGAACTGACAGTTCTCAAGGACCGATACACCGGCATGCACAAAGGTAACGTGTCGCCCCGCACACAGCCATTTTGGCTCAAACGCGTGCGTATTATTTTCCTTTCACGTGTAAACATTGCAATTTAGGTATGACTACCCGTTTTATTTTGTAAATAAGACCCAGTAGCCTACGTACGCGCCCTTTCCTGTAGAATCCAGTGGTGCTATCAATAGAGCGTGCATTACATAGCCTATTGCCAACATTTACGAGTTTTGACGTGTTGTCCCGCGTACCGTTGTTTTGGTTTATTCTCCCTTTAGCCTATGTTGTTAAACACACGATTTAACACTTAAGCCTCAACACGTGTGGCGTTTACACGTATTATTTACATGTACACAAAAACCACAGCTGATACATGGCACCACTTTCTCTCTTATTGATGCCAGAACAGTATTTCCTTACACGCGCTTAAGTGGGGCAGAGGCGCTTGGAAAAAATGCATTTTTAACGAGCCTTCCCCTTGCCAGTCCCATCTTTTTGCGGAGGGGCGGCATCATTTATTTATCCATATGCTTTCTTTAACATCTCCCCCATGTGCAGGCGAGTGCAGAGGGAGTCGTGGTTATCACACACGGGCTAGGCACATAGGCAGCTTCTGAAATCGGTTTCGTACAGGGCTACGCTGTGGCCGTCTCAAACTGTCACAGAGATGACACAAGATGACGGACGCAGTGGAAGCTCGCGGTGCGCACTGACAGCTTCCATTACCAAGCCGTATACAGCCGAGCGCACTGGTACAATGGTGATGAGAATAGCCTTCATCATCATCATCATCATCATCATCATCATACCCTGGCATTTGTGACTGGGCAATTGTAACTTGACCTTTAACTTAATCCCATACTGCAACATATTGTCTCATAGTTTTCAATTATATTTCACTATATTTGCAGCTATAGGCAGCTATAGGCAAGATAGATCATTGTGATGTGTGTGTATAGCTAGAACAGTCTCATTTCTAAAGTAATATTGTAGCAAACTACGTCTTTTTGCATAGATCCGACTTGTATATGATTATCTGGCCCACAACAATAACTAACCCATCAGCTTTAAGTTAAAATGAAGCCCTCTTTAAACAAACCCTGTCCACTGGCCATGTTATTTATAACACCACTTAAATATACTATTCTATATTAAGTATATTAGTATTTTTTTTATATTGTTTACTAGTTTCTATATGCACCTGTGTCTTAAACTAGTGCCATATAACAAGTAATGTTGTATATTTTTACCCCAACAATGACCACTATGACAACATATTGTATACAATCTTCTAATAAATATAAATTACACTTAAATTATTCATTAAAATAATGAAAGTAGGCAATATTTACTGTAATGTCATACCCTATGGCAGACAAGATATGTGTCCTGCTTCTTAACAGCTTGAATCAGTGCCTACACATACTATAGTCCGATTGCCGAGTATTGCATAATGATTGCAGAAGTGTTTTTAGCTCTTGAAGGATTGCTGTCTGATCACCATGTCAGAGAAAAAGAACAATTAAGCATTTTTATGTATTTTTATTAAGACAAAATGTTGTTTTATTGTCTGAAAATGCACTACGCTATTATGGCTCAGCTCAGGTATAAATTTCAAGTGCCAGCATCTGTCCCTTGTTCTGAAATATAACTTGCATAAACTCAGATTAATGTTGGCAATGCAAAAACAAAGGCAGTTTTAGATTCAGAATGTTGAATATGAAGCTTCAGGTAGAACGTAAAGTACTAGTAAGTGAGCATTTGGTTTGCAATCCTAAACATGGCCATATGTTGAAATATACTTGGATTCATGTATTGGCAAAATAAGAAGTCACTGGCATGTTTGGGCCATTCCAAAGCCCGGACAAATGGGCATAATTGTGCTAACTGCTTTATACTGAATGAGTAAATCATTCCTCCAACAGACTCTTGTCAGTGATACATTTCAACTCTCCGAACAGTATAGCCAAACTTCTAATATTATGACAGCTTTCAGAATTGATCAGCCTTGTGCTTTGTGTATTTGTTTTCTTATGCAACTATCCCCTGTGTTGTTGGTAATCCACAGGGGAAAACATGGAATTAGTTTGTAAAGCGTGATAATAATGCATGGCCGTAATAACTCGACTCAAGAGGATTAGCAAATGTGCATTGTCTGAAGCAGTGGTCTCCCGGGTGATCAGCTGGTTGCCTCCCTAAACAGTGGCTGCCTCTGCCAATTAAAAATCCAGTCTTGTCGAGAGTCCTCAAATGATTAATTCTGCCCACGCTGTCGATGGCCTGCCAATTATTGTCGCCCAATTGGTATTAATAGGTGAAGGATTTCCTGATGTGGGATTCATTGCAGCATGTAAAAAAAAACAAAAAAACTTCTCCTTTCAATTTTAATTAGCTGTTATTTATAAATGGAATGGAATACTATTTGCATATAATGTGATATGTTTATGTGCTAAGATCAATAGTGAGGAAAAGTTAAATTACGTGTCTATGTAGTTAATTGCATTCCTGGTCCAGCAGTTTAAACTTGTATGTGGTTGTCACATACATACAAAGACAAAGAAAGCACTTTTCTTTTTTACAGACAGACGAAACAGCCTCCTGGTCCGATCTGACAGTGGTGCACTTTGCGATCTCAAGAAAGCTGTTAATGAATTTATAAATATCTTAGGTGAGACACTGCAGCAGACCTCAGCCACAGTATTTCTATGAAATATTTATACACATTTTATTTTATTTTTTTTCATATGAAGATGGTCTGATGGATAAAGTTCCAGTGGACTAGCAAGGTAAAAGCAAGAGATCTATTTAGGTAAAAATAATAATAATGATAATTCTAAATGTTTAAGGTAAGTGATAACTAGCTGGCCACAGTCAATATAAGATTAGCCTAGCCTGAGACCCATAGTGTTATCATTGGCTCATAGAACCCCTAACTGTGTTTCTACCAAGATGTTGTAAATGTTTGAATGCCACATTCACTTCCCACTGCTGCTCTAGTGCACCACAGTGCTGATAAGAGACTGCAGTGTTCCTATATGAAATAGAGGATGTTCATCTCCATAATGTCTTCTGCGCCTTATGGAAAGTGTCAAAGATCACGGCACTGCTGTAGGACAGCCTCCCCCCTGAGGAAACAGATGGGACTGATTCTCTTACACACCACAAACAGGCTTTATATGACAAGAGTGCTGCATTACACAATGCTGTGTAATTACTTATTTAACAAAATGACATAAGCATTTTTATTTCAATCATCATTACAAAGATCACTTGTATTTTGTGTTCTTCACTTAAAACATGAAAGTAAAGTGCTCTGTGGGGGTCAGTCAGCAAAGGCCACCAATCTGAGGTAAATGCAGCAATAACACTCACTTTACAATCTCTAAACATCTGTAAATATTGTAATAAGCATCGGGCTTTTCTCATAAAAGATGCAGCAGCTCAACTGTTCCTGACAGCCGCTGTGGGCCTAGGAAAAGGCCTTCCTCCCCTCGCCTCCCGGCCCCATCTCCTCAGAGATCTCACTCTCAGATGCATGTAGTGCTGGTGCTTACTGTCCATAGGCTCAACCTGAACCTCCTGTGTCTCTCTTCCTCATCTGCCTCCACACAGAAGCACTGATGTAGTGCCATGATGCTACCTTCATTATCACTGAGCATTATGTCTTCATGTGCTTTGCTGGAAGGGCCATTATTTGGTGACCTTTGTCGAATGTGTTAGTTCTAATGGGAGTCTGAAGCAGGGACAGTGGGCACACATCTGAGGCTGTGGAAGCTTTGGATGCAGTTATCATAAACTTTTTTTTGTTTTCATAATGAGCGATGTTTAATAGTATAGTGAAATCACACACTATACTATTAAACAACTTATTTGTTGTTGTTTTTTTGCAATGAAAAGATTGTATTACAGTGGATATGATCAAGTTTTTTCATTTCGGTTGTTTTCAATTGCTGAGATTCTATTTGTTTGTGCAGTTGTATGCTTTTATAAAATGATATCATATCACTAATACTAACACTAACACTAACACTAACACTATCACTAACATAATTTACAGCGTTTTGTTGTGCTGTTATAAATATGCATAAAGAAATCATGAAGTACCACTATATTTCTCCTGTGTTAGAGGTCATATTTCTTGCACGTGTACTTCTTTCTTGTATGCTCCTCTTTCATGTTACCACACAAAGGTCAGAGCTATTGCTTTAGTCTAAATAGAGGGATAGAAGCCTATCTATTTTGTATGTGGAGCTTAACAGTGAGTGCCATTGCCTACAGAGCAGAATGTACTCTTGTGGGGTGGAGCGGTGGGGGGCTATGAGGAAACGCACAGAAAAGGCAGAAGAGGAGGAGGGGGTTGGTGCGTGCTTTAATGTTGTGTTTGAGCCTGGCTGGGCACAGATTCATTTTAGAGGCAAAATGAAATAACAAGAGAGAGGAGAGAGAGAGGGGAGATTTTAATGCAATGTTTTGTGATAATCCCTCTCTATTTTGGAACGGTTCAGGATAACTCATGCGATAAAGCCTCGTACAAGCTTGCAAAATAATAAGTTATTTGTCTTGCCTTATACTACCGTGGCCTTGGAGGGCTTGATATAACCCCGGTGTTTTGGCCGAAAAAACAATCACAGATTAGTCAAGCTGTCACATCCCTCTGAATGCCAAACGCCCTGAGCCCTTGGTGCTGGTGTGAATGAATATTACACAAATGTATTACATGTATCCGCACAGTGAATATGACTTAGCAGTGTCGCTTGATCCCGTTCACAGAGCTGTCCTGACGTGACAGAGAGGGATGGGGACGGGCAGGCTGGCACATACGTGGGCACACAACAATGGATGTATGAGCAGATGGATAAGTGGAGGGGAAAAGATGAAGCGTTTGTCAGAGATGCTGAAACAAATGGCTGCTTTTATCCCCAGGCAGGAGGCATGGAGAGTGATGGCTCAGCGCGCGACACACAGGAGCCTACTATAGTGGCAGGTTACAGCAGTTTGGGACCTGGAAAGAATATAGGGAG